TATGTGACAGACAAGAAGAGTATGTGACAGACAATAATAGTCAATTCTAATGTCTAACACGTAATGTGGAGAAAGAGATGTCCTGTCTGGGTTGATTGTGCGTTGATCTGTTGGTAATGCCTCGGGGTTCCGGTGGGCATGTAAACAAATGCATAATGCTGCGCTATACTTTGTGGCCTCACCCGGTTGCATAGCGACACTTATTGTTTAGGTGTCTTTTAATAAGCAGGTAGTCCTATCATTAGCTAGAACTAGCTGGTTCTGATCAATATGGACATAAACGCGAGTGAAGTCTAATCTGACGGGAGAGAGAGAGATCAGCTGCTGCTGACGAGTCGACACGCAGCTCTGCATGATCACATGCAGCGGTGAGCGGACAAAACGCACACTTCAGGTTAGAATATCACTCGTAGCTATTTTAATTACCTCTCAAACTACCGTAACTAGTTATAGATATGTTTAGTTTTACTGTCGGGTCACTCATTACTGGATCCGCGAGCTGCATGATACTAGCATAATAGATTGCCCGATCGGGCAGCCAGCAGGTGAGGCTTCATTGCCCGAGCTAAATACTAGATGGCCCCGGGCCATCGGGCAGTCCTTAATGTCGAGCCCTGTATCACGTCAAATGTTGTTGTATAACTGTAATTCTTATAATTGTACTTAATGGGTAAGGGTTTAATTACATTACATTAAAAAGTTAACCTGCTCCAAAAAATTATTAAATGAGATAATACCAAATTATCAACATACATTTATAAAAAAAAAAAAAAAAAGATATATATATTTCACCCCTATAAATATTCCCTATTTAGACAAACGACATAAAAAAAAAGCTAGACTATGCTAAGACATTCTATAAAAACAAGTCATGTAAAGCCTGTTTCTAATGAAGGCCTGGGACAGGTAAATAGAGGGGCCACTATTTGCCCTTCACTAACTTGTTAGATCTTTTTTTCATGAATCACTTCTGTTGCTCTTACTGATTTCTTTATTTTTCTTTCTCCCTGAACACAGAAACTCTTATGGTTGCTGTACGATCGAGGCGACCTGGACAGGTGAGAGTTTGGGAAGTTAGTCAGGAACGAAATGTCTCTGAAGTCTAACAGTTTCTACACACTGTGAAGAGTCGATGTGTAAACTTGCTAAATTCCACACCCCCCTCCTTTTCCTGTCGGTGGTCCAGGTATCCTATGGCCATGGGCACTCTGGCAGACCTCGAAGATCAGGAGCCAATCCCAGACAAGGAGAGCCCCCTGCAAATCCACCTCAAGGTAAATAAGAAAAACAAGGACGACTTGTACGATGTGAGGAAATGTTTTTAGGCTCCAATGCATCCCAAAATGTTGAGCTATACATTTAGAAAACATCTACATGTGATAGTCGGCTCCACTTCTCAGTAACTAAATCTGATCACCAACTACTATGGGGTTTCAAATGGTTTCCTTCAAAGATAAATGCAAAAATATCATCATACTTTTCTGCCTTTCCTTGACACAAATATGACTAAGAATTGAGAGTATTGTCCATCTTCAGAGATCAGGATGTGTGATTCCTCCTTTGTTTCTGCGCTCTCTCAGGCTGTCGGCTCGGCTCAAAAGTTCTACAACAACGAGCACATCTACCCTTACATGTACCTGGCTGGCTTCCACTACAGACACCGGGATGTGCGGGAGGCTCTGAAGTGCTGGTCCGAGGCAGCACAGGTCATGCAAGAGTGAGTCACCGCTGCTTATACACTCCTGGTTAAATCCTGAATGAATAGGCGTCTTGCTCAAATGTGAGGTCAAATTTACAATCTTCGAAGATTCAGGTCATTTCTTTGTATAGTAGGTAGATCTGGTTTGCAGATAAAAGACAAGGGATATGTTGTGACACGTTCCAAAACAACGTAGACAACCGAACAATCTCTACGCTCCGTCACATCTAAAAACAACTAGTACAAACAGGAATAACTAAAAAGGCAGAATTCTTAATGAAAGCATGATAAAACAAGATCATCATGATTCTATCAATGTTAAAATAGCAGTTTCCTAAGACAACAAAACAGATAATAACACAATATTCCTCCTGTAAGGCAAGGAAAGTTTATTTAGCACACTTCAACACAAGGCAATTCAAAGTGCTTTACAAAAATGAAAGGCATTAAGAAACATATTATAAAATGATATCTAAAAACACTAATTTAAAAGCAAAGATAAAAAGGAAAGATAATAAAAGTTACAGTGCAGTCTAAGATATGAATAGTTCAATTAAAAGCAGCGACAAAAAGAAAAGTCTTCAGCCTGGATTTAAAAGTAGTAAGAGTTGCAGCGGACCTGCAGGTTTCTGGGAGTTTGTTCCAGATATTTGGAGCATAATAACTGAACGCTGCTTCTCCATGTTTAGTTCTGACTCTGGGGACAGAAAGCTGACCAGTCCCTGAAGACCTGAGAGATCTGGATGGTTCATAATTTAGCAGGAGGTCAGAAATGTATTTTGGGCCTAAACCATTCAGTGCTTTATAAACAGCAGCAGTATTTTGAAATCTATTCTTTGACACACAGGAAGCCAGTGTAAAGACTTCAGAACTGGAGCGATGTGATCCACTTTCTTAGTGTCAGTGAGGACTCGAGCAGCGGTATTCTGAATCAGCTGCAGCTTTCTAATAGATTTTTTTGTGAGACCTGTGAAGACACCATTGCAGTAGTCGAGTCTACTGAAGATAAAACTATGGACAAGTTTTTCCAAATCCTGCTGTGACATCAGTCTTTTAATCCTAGATATGTTCTTTAGGTGATAGTAAGCTGATTTAGTAACTGTTTTAATGTGACTGTTGAAACTCAGGTCAGAGTCCATGACTACACCTAGATTTCTGGCTTTATCTGTTGTTTTGAACATTGCAGAATGAAGCTCAGCGCTAACTTTCATACGCTCTGCCTTGGCTCCAAAAACCATTACCTCAGTTTTATCTTTGTTTAATTGGAGTAAGTTCTGACACATCCAGTCATTGATTTTGTTCAATTGCACTTTACTCAGTGTTTGAAATTGGAGCTATAGT